ATTAATTTTAATTTAAGTAGCCACATATGGCTAGTGGCTATAGCCACTGTGTTATATTCAGAACACCTCAAATATTAATAGGCACCAACTTGGAAAATAGAAGCAAAACATGCAAGCACTGACATAAAACTTTGGTGAGGTTACCCTCTTAAATGGAGTTAAAACAAAAACTTTTTTAAAAGGCACTTTCATATCACCTCCCATTTTTTCATCACTTTAAACACTGGAAATAGATGTGATTGTAATTAGTAGTAATAAATAATGCTGCTTTATGTCTACATGAAGCTTTTAGGGATCAAAGAATTTATATTTTTATTATCCTCTGTGATAACTTACAACAGAAGGCTGAGTATTTGTAGCTTTATTCATGGATGAAAAAAGTCAATTTCAAGAAAGAAATAGATATATATAAGCCTACCTGGCAAGTGAGCCAAGAGAGTCAAAGTCCTGAACCAGTATTTCCTGAATCTTGAATTGTTTTTGTTGGTCCACCCTGCCTCAGTATTTTTAGCCCATTTTACAAAGGAAATCACTAAAAGGTTTAATAGCCAAGAGTAAACCATCTCTCCAACTTAACTTTCAATCATGTCAATCTGTGGTTAAATCAGAGCTTAGATCCAAGGTAATATATAAATGCGGAAGAAGAGACAAAGCTCCCTTAGGAAGAATTCCAAATAGTTTATGTAGATACCCCACTCCAGGAGGCAGACCACCTCCTTCCTCCTTAGAATAGGTTTCACTTAATGATTTCCTTCAAGAGTACTGTATGAAAAAGGAAAGAAAGAGGAACTTCACAAAGAAGAAATGCTCAACAGACATTATCTCAGCCAGGTGATTAAGGTTCACATCAACAGTGACAAGTCACGTTAATAGTAGGTACCTTTGTGATGTAGTGATAATGGCTCTTTACTTCTATGATTTAGTCCTCCAAATTCATAACCCCAGTCTAACCATGAGAAAAACATGAGACAAACCCAAATGAGGAAGATTCTGTCAAATACTTGAGCAGTATTCCTCAAAACTGTTAAGGGCACCAAAAATAAAGAAAGTCTGAAAAACTTTCATAGACCGGAGGAGGTTAAGGAGATACGATGTCTCACAATATAATGTGGTATACTGAATGGAGGCCTGAAACAGTAAGAAAACACAAGAAAAAAAACAAAAACAAAACAAAACTAGTAGTTCCCAAAGAAAGTGGGTCTAGTTAATGGTAGTATGCCAATGCTGGTTTCTTATTTGTGACAAATGTATATAATAACGTAAGATGTTAAGGATAATGGAAACTGGAGGAGGGATATACAAGAATCTTTGTAGAATCTTTGCAACTTTCTGAAAGTCTAAAACTATTATAAAATTAAAACTCTATAAAAAAGAATTTAAATAATACAATACCAGAGCTGGGTGAAACATGGTGAAAAAAAAGCCTACAAATTTTGAAGGACAATGGAATTTTGTTCTCAGGTATTAAGGACTTACATATTCCCAGCTGTATAGCATGAAATCATGGAGCAAATATGGACATTTGGTGGTATATAATTAATTATATACTTTACTTATGGTTATTAAAACAGCCTGTTATATAAAAATTTAAACAAATGTTCAAAATTTTTATCTGTGCAAAGTGATTTTATCATACTCTTTTCTCAAATTTCAGACATTTTGAAACATTCTGATATGATGTACGTTACCAGTGATCCCAAACTAAAAATATCTCAAGAAATAATTGTTACAACTTTTTTTTTTTGCCAGGGGTATGGTGGCTATGTTGCATCAATGATCTTAAAGTCAGATGAAAAGCTTTTTAAATGCGGAGCTGTGGTTGCACCTATCACAGACTTGAAGTTGTATGGTGAGTACTTGCTACAGACTGACCTAATGTAATGTATTGATTTGTGGAAAACCAAATCCCAAGGCAGTGGAGCTCAATTGAGCTCATTTATCATGTGTTATTAGAGCCCATTTTGAGCTGTTTATCACCTCCCTGATTCAATCAGTTTTACTGGAGCATGACAATTAAATGTGAGATGAAGAAATTAAATAATGAATTGCACAAGTCAAATGGTTTTCAGTTTTAGTATTCTTAAATTTCTGTTTTCTTGGGTCACAGCCTCAGCTTTCTCTGAAAGATACCTTGGTATGCCATCTAAGGAAGAAAGCACTTACCAGGTAACTAATTTAAAAATAACAATTAGAGTAGTTTTGTTCTAAAAATTCAGTCAAATTACTTATTTAGATAGATCTGTAGATCCAGCTGTTTCCGTTTTCCTTCATAGGCAGCCAGTGTGCTACATAATATTCATGGCTTAAAAGAAGAAAATATATTAATAATTCACGGAACTGCTGACGGTAAGTATTATACTTGTCGCTACTGTTTGATGGAGTCTGACCTTTGACAAAGGAATACACCTAAGGACTTTCTTGCTTGTGAGGGGCTTTGTAAACCTTCTGGACAGCACAGAGTGGCACAGAGAATCAGATGAATGATAAGAAGTGGGAAGAAGGAATCCAGGACTAAAAGGAGAGGAGGCCATGAACTTCAAATGGCAGCGGTGTCCAGTAAAGCCTTCTGTGAGGACGGAAATATTTGATCAGTGTTATTGAGCATGGGAGCCCCTGGCCACTTGTGGCCATATTGTGTTTAGTGTGACTAACTGAATTTTTTAAAATTTAATTTTAATTAATTTT